CTCCATCCTTGGAGGTTTTGAAGACCCGGGTGGACAAAGCTGTGTCTGGGATGATGCAGTTGGGGCCGGTCCTGCTTGGAGCAGGGGTTGGACTGGACATGACTCCTGAGCTCCCTTCCTGCCCTCGTTTCTGTGATTCAGTGATCATCCTGCAGCCCAGAGGGGTTTCCCACGAGGAGACAGCTGTACTACTGTAGCAAAAAACATCTTTTCTCACATACAGGTTGCACTTTCTCCCCCCAAAAATCAGCTCCCCAAAACGATGGTGTGTGTATCAAACGAGGAAGCTGATTTTCTGCCTGGGGTTTGATTCATGCTGCACAGGGCAGCAGCTGTTGCATTTCTATTTGGGTAGCGGAGGGAGTCAGTTGACTCGATGGTTCATTTTTCTTTGCTCCTCAGGTTTTAACAGCGCTCTCTCCTTTTTAGTGCTCTTGATTTTGTTCCACTAACCCAGCTAGCCTTTCTTACTGCACTTTTGCTGCCTGCCAGCTGTTTCTGGTCTGTCTCCTCTTCTTTCACAGCCTCGGAGACTTTTTAGCTCTTTTCAAAGTGATAAATCTGCCCCCTGTGGAGATCAGTCTTCAGCAGCAGCTAGGGTTTCAGCTTTAGTGATGTAGGGAAGGGAGGGTGAGTCCGCTGAAGATTGGGCTCTGTCCCTGCTTTATGCAGCTGTAACTCTGGGAAGGTCTTTTTTTTCTCTTTCTGCCTTTCGAAAACAAGGTGTGTATTATATTCAGGGGCATATTGTATGTGAGAGAAGTACAGTAATTATGCCCTGAGGCAGGAGCAAGGGGTTGTCTTTCCATCTGGGGTCTGAGTGACTGATGGTGGGTTTATGGAGCTCCCTTTCCACGTGAGAGGTGCAGTGATGTTTCCTTAAATAGCTTAAAATATATGGATTTATTCAGCTTATTATTATTATTTATTAAGTGTGTTTATTCAACCAGGTTCTTTGGAGCTGGGGTGCCACCGGAGACTGGAGAACGGCCTTTCTCTGCCCGTTTGTAGCCCTAATCGCTCCTAGTCGGTCCTGTCTCGTCATCGCGGTGCCGGCAGCTGGGTTACTATAGCGCTCGTGGTGGCCGCACAAAACGACCGATTCCTGCCATCAATATTTAAAGGCCTCGCCGGTCCTTTTGTTTACTCGTCCCTGTTTCTCCATTTCCCCCGTGTAATTGCTCGCACGTTATCTGCTCTTCCCTGTCGCACGCGTAGGAGTCTGATATTACAACATCCTCCATGAATCTTTTATATGAAAGCAAAACAAATGTGCAAGCAATAATTAGACTTTGTTTCGCACGGCAGGAAGCGCGCCGTCGTTTCGCCGGGGTTGGGATCCAGGTCTCGGCTGCGCAACTGGTGATGGCGGGGCGGGGAGGGAGAAATTTTCCTTCGCGGTGCATGCACGCACCGGCTTCGCCTGTGCACGCGCTCTGCTTGCAAACGTGCTCGTTGGGGTGATGGCGGTGTAGGATTCACATCTGCCCCTTCCCAGCTCCTTGCCCGTTCTCATCGTGCATGCCTCTCATGCAGCCCTCTTGCTCATTAGCAATGGGTTTAAATTTAAATCTGTGGGTTTGGGGTTTTTTTACCCCCTGCCGGAGGTGCTCTCAGCAGACCTGTTGCATAGATATGGGTCGGCTAGTTTGGCCCAAGACCGTGGGTTGGCCTCATGTCCCTGGCAGAAGGTGGAAGAGGCCGGGGTGGGTAGGGGCCGCTTCCCGGTCTTTAATTGCAAGACATTGCTTTCAACCCAGCCCCGTTCATCTTCGTACCCGTCTGTTAGCAGTCGCTCCCATAGCACTGGTTATCCTCGATCTCCGTATCGGCGTCCGGGCCGCCTCCGAATAGCCAGATTCTTGCCGTCGGCTGCTTCCCGTAGCCCTGAGCTCTTGTTTCCTCCTAAATGTTTATTCGTGTTAAACTTCACCCATCGGGTCCTGTTAAATGGCCCTGCCACCCTTGACCTTTGAGCCTCAGCCTTGACCTTGACCTGAATGTCCCTGCCACACTTGGGGGGTTGGACTAGATGACCTCCTTCCAACCCAAATTTCCTGACTTTTTTATGATTCAGTGACCCGGGTAGAGCAGTGTGTGCTCAGAGCACCACGAGGATGGACGGCCCAGGGGTTAGCGGTTAGGGACCTAGAGTCAGTCCCCGGCTCTGCCACCGATTCAGCTCTACAACCTTGGGCAAGTCACCTTGTCTCCTTGTTCCTCTGAAAAATGGAGCTTGTAGCTCTGTGCCCCGGGGGGATGGTGAGGGTAAACCTGCTGGGACTCGGACACGGCGGTCATGGGGGTTGCTGTCTCAACTGAGTTGGGCAATGGGACAAGCTGCCCAGGAAAGTCGTGGGAAGAAGAGACGTCTCTCTGGGTATCCGTGCGTCTGCGCAGGAGAGGTAAAACGAGCAGTGTCAAGGTCGTGGGTCTTTGTAACCGCAGCAGTCGGCTGCCTCTTCGTCCACGCCACCAAACCTGTGGAAGGAGGTTCCTGACCTGGTATGAAAGGTGCCACGTCTTGGTGTGCTGCACCCCAGTCGGGCGGCTGCTCGCGGCCAGCATCTCCGGCTCCAGTCGAGCCGCCTCCGTGCTTCTCCAGCAGCCGGTCGTTTCCTCGCTGCCGCTGAAAAACCTGCCTTCGGCCTCTTCCTTCAGTACGGCACGGGCAGTGCCCGAGGCTCGCGTGCAAACTAAAGTAAGAACGAAAGGCAAAAAAGAAATTAGCAAAGTCTGCAATTATGATTTGGCAAAAATTAAAGGCACGGGAGGCAAGTGGCTGCGTCTGGCCAGACCAGGTGTACTCTGCGCCCCGCGCCGCAGGGCCGGGGTTGGCTGCCCTTTGCTTGCAAGCCTGTGAGATGTAGTCCTCTTGATTGGGGTTGGGGTTGCCTGGGATCTGTCGACCGAGCAACCTCGGCTCCATCGTCTCCGGAGTATCAGCCGACGGCCGCGTTTGGAGCCGAGTCGGGGTGGTGTCTTAGTGGAGCAAACATGTGCCCCGGGGTTGCAAAACCCCCACCGGGAACTCCCGGCGGCAGCAGGAAAAAGGGGAGCGGCGTTTTCCAACCAGCCCATCCGGAAACCACAGCTGCGGGCTCCCGATCCAACTCCGGCGGAGCTGAGAAGACGCCACAACCATTTCATTGGAAACCTTTGGGCCCCCGCTTCCCCTGCGCTGCGCTGCGTGCGTGGCGCCGGGCTGGTCCAGCGGTGACCCCCTTACCCACTCGAGGGTGATAATAAGCATGAGAGAAGTAGGTTAGAGTTCAGAGCGTGCTGGAGGCACATTGATTTTTCATTGTCGCCCTCTTTCAGCGAGGAATTTCTCTCGAGCCCTTTGGCTTTGCAGAACCAAACCCGTCGCGGGCCGCGTGGCGGAGGGTTTTTGTCAGCGAATGTCAAGCATCCAGATGCAGAGATGCTGATAATTTTTTACAAAGTCGTGCCATTGTTCGGCTCCTCACAAAGCTGCCTTTGAAGAACGTGAAAGGGTTTAAAATGCTACGGATAAATAACAAGGGTGCGTGTCCTGGGAGGGGGATGAGCAAGGCAGTGTTTTGACTCGATTTGACAGGCTGCAAAATGCGGCTGGAGTTTAGCAGGGGTCTCTGCACCACCTGGCGAATAAATGATCCGTCCTGTATATCCCCAGGCTTTGTCTAGCGGCTTCCAAGGCAAAAACCTCATTGACTTTTGTGCCTTTTTGTCTTGCCGCCGGGCTCCTTTCGGCTTTGCTCTTGGCTTTCAGCGGCCTTTCATGCCGGCTAGGTGTAGCCGCTGTGCGACCGGCGCCTAGTCGGCAGCGGTTTCCTGCCCCGCAGAGAGGCACCGCTGGCCGCGTGTCACCAAACGGAGACTCACAAGCGTCTGAAAGGCGCGTGCGGCAGAGCTGGAGGGGAGGGAAAAGCCGATCCTCGCTGGTTTGGAGCTCGGGAAGTTTTTTGAGCCAGCGGTTTGCAAAGGAATGAGACCCTGCTAGGGCCTGGGGGGGTGGTACTTGTGTGGGTCGGGATGGGTAGCGCCCCGCTGTTCCCTCCATGGCTGTCCGAGCACGTTGCAAAGGAAGTCAACGAATGCGTTTTACCAGGATGGGGAAACTGAGGCACAGAGAGGCCAAGGGGCATGTCACCCAGTGCACCAGTCACCCAACCTGGTGCTCTCAAGTGCTCTCCCCACCAGGCCGCACTGCCGTCTGGTGCCAGGAAGGGACTGCTAGGACCGAGCTCGATGTCCAAGGGGACCCAGAGCCGAGCTGTTCCCCCCCTGTTGACTTGAGCCCCCTCTCCCCCGTCACTTGGGCTGGTGCTTTCAAGGCCCCGATCCTGCCCTGGGATCCCGTCACACGGACCCCGCCAAAGGTCCCTGC